TTTGGCTATGAACATTTAATTTCGGTTATGACGAATTCCGGTTACCAAGTAAATTTTTGGTTGACCATCAATAACAAAAATAGTAAGGATTTTGCGAATACCCTTACTTGGTCCGTGATTCACTGATTTATTGATTATGTATGTTTATTGTTTGCATAATTGCATAACGTCTCGTGACTATGATGAATCTTTTTTTATCAAATAACGATAAGATAAAACCTGTATTTTTTGAACCTTAAATCTTTAAATCATTTTTTTTTTTGATATTAAAAAATATTACCATCATCATGCATGAATGATAGAAAGATAGTGGAAATTTTAACTTACTATAGTAAAATAAATAAATGAAAATGTGGATTAGATTACCAAATCATGCCTTTTTAATAAATAGATTTTCATATTGTGGAATTTTTTTTTTTACTTCGACTTTCAATTCCTTTTTTTTTATTTTTTAACTGCACACAATATTTAAGACTTGTAAACATCTTTTTGTGATTTTCAAACTGCATATTTTCGATCCATCCTTTGTTTTTATAATCTACGGATCATTGTTTTAAGGAAAAAAAAAAAAAAAGGATTATATAAATATATAAATTTTTTTTTGTTTTTGTTTTTGTTTTTTTTTCTCTCCCAATTTTATTCGCAAACGATTTGTTTTCACCTTTTAGATATTATTATATCATTACCTTCAATTTTGAACTTGTCTTTTTTAAGTCAAATATGTCATATTCATCAAAGTATATCCCTACTTATAAAACTATTTTCGTTGATTCCACCGATGATATTCAATTGGAATTAATATATGATATGGGTGTGAACAAGGTTTGTTGATATTTTAGAAAAAGGAATCCCAAAATCACTTAAAGGACATTCACTTTTAAAAGATGATGCTTTAATGATATTTTGTTTCATTTCTTTCAGATACAACACGTCAATTTGCCGCCTTTATTATTTGTTCATGGATCATATCACGCGGCTTGGTGTTGGGAAAACTTTCTTGGGTGGTTCTCTGGTAGAGGGTTTGATTGTTTTGCCTTAAGGTAAATCAAAATTGAAATCTTTTTTCTGAAAAGGGAAAAAAAAAACAACGAAACTATTGAAATTAATTTCCTAGTTTACGTGGACATGGCGAAAGTACAAAGATAGCGAGTAAAGATTCAGCATGGTCTTTGGAACAATACGTGGAAGATGTATATATTAAACCAATTTCAATTTGCTCTTTTGTAAGTTGTATGGTTTAAAAGAATATTAAATTTTTATCATTAACTTTTAGGTTTCTTCTGTTGTGGAATTTTTATGTGAAAATGGTCTTTCGAAACCAATAATAATCGGGTAAGATCAAAACTCCTCTTTTTTTTTGAAATCAGAAATAACGTCTCTAATATATATATATATATATATTTCTGATTCTTAGCCACGCGATGGGTGGAGCAATATGTCAAAAATATCTAGAAACCTCGTCCGATAAAGTAACTTCATGCGTTTTGCTCTGCTCGATCCCTCCAACCGGTTTGATTTATTCACTTCCAAATTGGTTCACGAGCGTATCACTTACGATGTTATCCGCTTTGATTCTTCAAAATCCTTATTTCTTGATTTCCACTCCCGAACGAGCTCGAAAATCTTACTTTTCTTCAAACGTTCCAAAAGACCTACTCGATGAATATCACTCTAAATTCGAAAGTACTTTTAACAAAAAAGTAAATTTACAGACACTTACAACGTTTATCGACATGAAAAAAATCATGAATCAAAAAAATTTAATGAAATCAATGATTATCATTGGTGGAGAAAGGGATTGTATAATACCGATTAATGTTTTGGATAAATTAGGTAAAAGTTATGGTGGAATTAAGGTTGATATTGTTAGGAATGTTGCTCATGATGTGATGTTGGAAGTCAAGTGGGAAGATGTTGCTACAGTCATCTTGAAAAGGATTCAAGAAAAATTATTTGAACAATTTGCAAATATATATTAAAAAGGTTACACGCAAACGTCAGAATGTTGAATTATTATCTTTTTTTTTTTTTTTTTGTAAGATTAGTTGTATATTAGAACAGCATTTGTATAAATTTCATTCTTCTTTTCTTTTTTTTTTTAAATTTTTTTTTTTGTTTTAAAAAAAGGGATTATATTTTTAGAGGAAATAAAAGTTCAACCCTTTTCAGGTCATAAGCTTATTGTACATAAAATAAAAAAAAATATTAACCACCAAATTTGGAATTCTAATTGAAGAAATCAGCCGTACCTACTAAATCATGCGACATACTTGTTGGCATAATTAGTGCAAGTGATTGTAGAATCCACTTTGGAGCAAATTACAATATATTTATAACTAAATCACATTTTCATTTTCAAAAAAAAACTTGCTTGAAACAATCAATTGGATCTTCACATGTAAGGTCATTGTTCAAAAATTTTTGAAGCTTTTCCAAGCAATGCAACATGCCGAAATTTATTGTACCTGGGTCAGATGATAAGTACCGAATATGTCTATGGGGACCACTCTAAAATAATCGAATCCGATGATGAGCTTTCATTGTTCGCCCTAGAAAGTCGCTCCGAAACCCTGATTTGGAAATACTTTGTAGATTGTAGACATAATTATTCGCCCGATGAAAATTTTTTAAAATAGCCAAGAATTTGACAAGAAAAAAATGGTAAAAAAAAAATCTTAGTACACGAAATCTTGATTGATTCAAAAAGATCATGTTCGGGTACTTTTTGTGCATCCATAAAGTAGGACAAAGAATCTCAAAATTAATTGACTCATCAATCGACTTTATGACTTAAATCGAGTCATTCTCACTCTCAAAAGTACATTTACGTGTAAAAAAAAATAAATTTATAAATACGGACGCATTCATCGTAACCTTTTTTACATTCTTATCATCCTTAAAAGACAATGGAATTTAACAAAGAAAAAACCGATCCATGGTCACCAACAAATTATAAACTTCATGCAAACTTTGTACCAAAGCTGGTACAACATGATCTTCTCACGCTCCTTTCTCCGAAATCACATGAACGAATCTTGGATTTAGGATGTGGAGATGGTGTGCTAACATGTCAAATTCAAGAAATGTGTAAAGAATGTGTTGGAATTGATAAAAGTCAATCCATGATTGAGGAAGCCAGAACAAATGGATGTAAGGACGTAAGGGTGATCGATTGTGAAAAATTGATAGAGTGGATTAATCAAGAAGGCTTTATTGATTATTTTGACGCTGTGTTTTCGAATGCTGGTATGTTAAGAAGAATTCAAAGGTGATGATATATATATTTTTTTTTGTTAAAAAAAAATTTAATTTAAATCTTACAGCACTTCATTGGATGAAGAATCAAGAAGCTGTAATCGAAGGAATCGCAAAGATTCTCAAGCCTGGTGGCAGGTTTGTGGCAGAACTTGGTAGTTCCGGGAATGTACAAAGTAAAATACTTCATGTGTAAATCTAAGGATCATTTTTACTTGGGTCTGATTAGATAATTGAATTTTTTAAAATATTTTTATTTATAAAGTTGTTGAAAAGTCTTTAATTAAGGCTTTAGATATACGCGGTTACAACGGAAAAGAACTTTCACCATGGTAACAAACATAATTCAATTCATTCGATCATTTGTATTTTATCCTTCAATTCAAAATTTTTTTTTTTTTACTCGTAAAAGGTACTTCCCATCACCAGAAGATTACAAACAACTTTTAAACAAATATAAAATTAGCGTCAGCTTTATTTCTAATTTTCCAAGGCCAACAGAATTACCAACTTCACTTGGCGGATGGGTTGAAACTTTTGGATTTTCTTTCCTTGCTCCTTTGAACGATCATGAAAAAGAAATCGTTAAAAGTGAAATCGAAGGGATGTGTAGAGATGATGCATATAATTCCGAAACTGGTAAATGGACGGTAAATTATGAGAGATTGAGAATTGTGGCGCAGTTAAAGGAGTAAAGAATTTATTAAAAATTCTTCAGGATGACAGAGTTGATCTCAAGGGCTCCACAAAATTAAAGTTGTGATTTAATTTTAATATATATTGCATGACAATTTCGGCCTTTTCATTTCATGAACGTGTAACATGATTCGAAGTAAATATATTATTTGTTCTACAATAAAATACAAAAAAAAGTGATCAATAGGCGTACAAATATCACATAACGCATTTCTAACCATTCATAATTCGGGATTGATCGAAATACTGTAAACTTGCATTTTATTTATCATATACGGTAATCTTATAAAGAATTAAATTTTTGCTGTGCAAAAACAATTTTCCTCGTTATCTTAATTAAAAATTTCCAAGAATGGATTAACAAAGTACCGCCCTGATTTAAATTCCTTATTTGAGAGATGCGGGAATTTGTTGAGAGAAAATAAAAAATTAATTTTGTACGCTATGAGTTCAATTTAATTGCTTATTATTCTGTGCGCTTTGCATTCAATTATGCCTCCCTTGGTTTTGCTCGGCCAATATAATTTGTAGGTTTCGTTGATATCAAAAAATATATCATTTTTAAACTAACATTACGATTAGATAGCAATTCTCTTAGCGAATTACATTCTCTAACGAAACCCATCATTTTATTAATTTGATATTTATCTTCTTTTGTACAAGATCATTTAATTTATTTGATAACAAGGATTGGTTTGCGTTAAAAAAAAAAAGATCATTCTTCAAGAGAAAGTCTTACCAATAAAGTAAGATCAAAACATGCAATTTAACCCTCGATTGTTTCACGACTTCCATTTTTAGCTGAGAAGTTTTTTTTTAATATCCGACATAAGGTTCGAGATGTGTATAAATATACCTTTATTCGGCTCAACTTTTGAAATTCAACCACTGTATTTTACAAATTTTTCTTATCTTACTTCCTTTACTCCACACTCTTTTGTGAGCAGGCCAATCCTTTCCTTTCTCCCCCTCCCTACCTTACCATTTTTTTTTATTCACCCTCATTTTCATATTTACCTTAAATATAATAATTAATTTCATATAAAAAAATGAAATTATCACCACTCATCGTTGCTTTCTTAACCATTGCAGCTTTCTCAGATGCTGCCCCATTAGATAAAAGACGATTCTTTCAAGAACATACACCGGCAGCCGAAGCAACTTTCAGAGGAATGAGAGCTCTCGCTGTTGGTACTCCATTCGGTGAACGGCTTGGAGACTTATCCGGTTTAGCTGTCGATAATTTATTGGCCAAAGCCCCAGCTTGCGGACAACAAATCGTTGCTGATGAAGTCGTTGACATTGCCAAAAAAATCGGTACTTTACATTGATTTTTTATCGAATTTTTTTTTTTTATTAATAATTCAACCTAAATAAAATTACTTTTTTATTAATTAAAAGGTGGAAAAAAGAAAGATCAGCTTATCAAAGTTGCTATAGCTTATCGTAAACTTGAACGTAATACACCGCTAAAAGGTCAACCCTCAAACTTCTGTGACAAGAGACCAAGAAATAAGGAACTTCTTGGAGTTGTCCAAGCCCAAGATCCAACTAAAGTTCAGCCGAAACCACCAGCTTTCGTTTCCCCCGGTGAAAAGTTGAACAAAAAACCAACCTTTGGAAATGTAACACCCAAGGTAGAAGAAAAAAAGAAAGTTGTCAAGAAGGGACCCGCTAAATCCAAAAAACAAAAGAAGGCTGTTGCAAAATGCGTAAGAATGTTGAAAATGAAGCACGTTTCACCAGGTCAAAAAAAAAAATGTGAAAAACTCGCAAAAAAACTAATGTGAATCACGTAGAAGTTTCTACATGATCCATTATTTCCTTAATATTCATTACACCCCGAGCCTGCTCATTTAGATTTCCATTCAATACAGTGTAAAGCTCAAATCTTTTTATTGTTTATTTTATATTTGTTTTTTTATTACTTGGAGAAATTAATGTAATAAATTCCGATAGATACAATTATAAATAAATAAAACAAATAACCACCTGAACTAAAAAAATTTTTATTCCAAAATGTGATTTGTCATATGTTTTCATTTTTATACGTGTAAAAATATGTAAAGCATACGAATTAAACGAGATACACTTTTATAAGAAAAGGTTTAAATAAAGTAGTAACTTCTGTTATCTTTCTTGAATTCTTTTGCAGATTGTTCTTTGGCATCTTTTTTATGCTTAGCTGCCTTAAACTCGACTCGGCGATTCGTGATACAGAAGACGTTACGTATCTTTCAAATTTTCGAATTACCGTAGATTTTTAACGCCGATTACTTTGCCACGAAAAAAATTAGAAATTGCCTGTTTATTAAAACAAGTCCCATGCCACGAGCTTTTTTTGTCGGTGATTCGCTCTGTCACGTGACTACTGCGATTATTATTTCCCAGATTTCGAGCTAAGTTGATACTGTATCATCATAGCTGTGATCGTGATAATAATCGCGGTTTAAAATCCTAATCTATAAAAAAAAGAACCAATTTCCATAAAAAAAAAAATCTTTTTTTCGTTGTATAGTATTTGTTTCTTTTTTTTGGTTTTATTTTTTATTATCATATAATTATCTACTATCTATTAATTAACAAAGCAAACACCTAAACGCAAACTGTGCAATTGCGTCCAGAAATTCTTTATCGTATGTCTTTAAGAAACGAAAAAATGACAAAATTGAAAGCGCTTCCGCACCAAATCGGCAGTCACATTACACTGCCAGTCAAAGCTCGGATCTTACGGTATCCATCAGCCAGCTTAGGCTCAGTTCCAGTTTAAGCTCTAGTTATGACTTAAATAACCTGGCACCTGGTTCGAAGTGAACACAGTACAAATATAAATGAAGCCGATGAAAATGAAAAGAATTGGTGGTTGAATAAAGGTTCTTTAGGTTCTCTAGATGTTGATGAGGAAAGGTAAAACTTTAGCATTCACTTATTTCATTTGTTTCATGCTAAAGTTTGATTTATCTTGTCAGATGACCTCTAGTTTTAGCAAGAGATGTAATGTCAGTTTACAAAACGAGTTGAGAAGATTAAGGCCAGGAGGTTTTTTGACTATCGTAACCATTATTGAGTTACCAACTGGCGAACACGAAGCTACAGGCTTCGAATTTTCTCATCTGTTTATGAATGTCTTCAATAATGCAACACCGCAAGATAGTGTTCGTGTCTGGGGTGCAAAAAGTAAGTTCTTTTAAATATTCAAGTTTTGTGTACGTATTTTCCTGAAACTAATTTTATTGCAACCAGGTTTAAAAACCAACCTTACATCAAATGAATATGAAGAGCCAGACGCATGCTTTATACTATATTCTTGACAGTGCCTAAAATTTTGTCGGGTTGCAACTCCTCAGCAGAATCCAAATGCTACAACATTTGATGCAATTGAAGAGGTAGGATTGGTGTGTTTTTACAATTGTTATTCTTTTGCTTGTTTAGCTCACTTTACTTGTCACTTTCAGATTGAGTTCGGATTTGTACATGCCAATGGCAGGGAGAGTTATTTTTGCACTGGTCCTCATAAGAAAGGATTACAATCAATTGGTAATTGAATTTTTACTGGTTGCCCTCCTCTTCCTTCATTTCATGCTGTCATCTCTTCACGACCTTTCCCTCAACCTCAAGTTCCCTATTCACTTAAACACCAGGAGCAGCTATCGACTTATTTGATATTCAACAAGTGATTTTTCCAAATTGAAGTGCAAGAATAATTCTTAATACAAAATTCAAATTTATATATAAATAATAATAATGTTAATATTTTTATTTAATAATATTTCTTTTTTACATAGCAATTTTAGACCTAAACTTTGAATAAATAAAAAATACGTATAGAAGGAATACGATACTTTATTGCATTGTTATATCGAATTCATATATATAATTTATTGCAAATACGTCAATATGTGCTAACTTTTTTCCTCCCGTTACTCCCATTATTTTATTCGTTCCAGGAAAAAGAATACACGAATATTACGAAGTACTATGGTCGAGGTACTAGATATTAAGCTTAGTAACTCTTCAAGGTAACTTCTACCATTCTAAATAAGGATAATTTAAATTAATTAATTTTATGCAAAAATGTAAATAATAAAAAATTGAATATTCAAAACTTTTCAAGTTTCAAGCAAACTTGCGGAACATGCAAAAATTATTACTTATGATATGAATTTTAACGTTTAAACAAAGGTTTTAATATCAAACAACCATTTTCAATCCGAAATATACGTCTTCAATGATCTTTGCAATTCTACGCTCTGTAACAAAACTCTGAAGTACTACCTACAATAATCTTCGCCTCGTAAAAAAAAGGAGACTTGAGGTATTGCAGAAGCGTATTTAATAATTTTATGATGATGGAATTCATAGTAAACCTTATAATGGAAGGATAAAGAATGAATCATTGAATCATTAAATCGATCATATGATTATATTTTTGATTATTATTGTGACATTAAGATTGCAGCATATGAAGGAGCTGGCTTCGATGGAAAATAGCTAGGAAAGTCTATCTTCCTTGACGAGTAGGCTTCATTGATATGTGGAGATTTTGATCGATATTTACAAAAAAAAAAGAAACTACTTCATGAAGGCGAAACTTTAAAGTTGGCACATGTTGAATATTTATGTTCCAAATCCAATTAACGTTGGTGATAATAATTGGGGAACGGTTTCGAAAACCGTTGTTAAGTCCGGAGCATATGTGTAACGAAAAAGACCAATCATGTATCGACTCAATTTTTGAGTGGGGACATCTTGTGTCACCGGTATATGGGAACGTTTCCAGTAAAATCAATTCATGAGGCATAGTAAATCATATGATCAGTAATGTGATTTTACTGGAAACGCTCGCTCCGGACTAATTACCGCAGTGTAATAACTGACCCACATACTGCGGTAAAGATCCTTCTATCACAAAAACCCCTTTCCTTATTGCTTTTATTTTTCGTTCCTAATTTGGGTTGTAAATAAAAATATAACAATAACGATAAAGGTAAAATTGTAATAAAAAAATACTTGAAGTTAACTATAATTCTGTTAATTAAAAATTTGAATATAGAATTAATTTTGAGTGAAAGGTAAAATTATGCTCAATTTTTGTTTAAATTATTAGAAGGTTAGTAAAGAACATTTATAAATTATTTAAATACTAAATTATGGTATAATAATTAATTTCAAAAATTTTCTCATTTATTATTATTAAATCAATAACATTTTAACCTTTAAAAAAATAAACAAATTTAGAATGTAAGCCATTAACTTATATAATTTAAACTTAACTAAATTTATTATTTAAAAAAAAAATTAATAATTAATAATGTAATAGATAATAAGTTATTTTTTATTGATTAGTATTTACAGCTAATTTTATAATTTATAAATCACTAATAAATTGTGACTGAATGCAACTGAATCCATTTTATAATAAAATTACTATTATAGCTAATTTCATAATTCATAGACCATTAATAATTTTTCAGTTACATTCAGTCACAATATTTTATAGTAATTTTATTATAAAATATTTTCAGTCA